TAATGTTGCAGTTAATAAAGACAATTGATTTTATGTGGAACCATTTTCAGAGTATTCGTATCGTTTGATACGCCTCTTCAACAAATATCTTGTTTATTAATTCTCCCTGTTTACAGCTTAAAAAAAAAGAAAGAAATGAATTTATCATTTTATGGTATTAATGTGTTATTACGTAAGACAAGTGGGCCCCTTATGGATTTTGCAGGAGATCATGCATCTCTGCTTTCTGTCATATCTTTTCAATACCCGGTGATTTTATACGGTTGTGTCACTTCTTTGCTGTACGAGTACCGTTAAGTTACACTTTCCAATGAATAAACAGCGAAAAAAAGTACTCGTTTTTATGCGTGAATTCTGAAAAATCTATATTTGCCATGACTAAAAATATTATAGAAGTTTTATTGTAGTACCAAGCAAATCATCTGCATATTTACTATGACAAAAATTATTACCGAAATTTCATTGTAGCGCAAAGTAAATCCTCTACATCCAAGAGTTTTGATAAAATATTGACAATAGGTACAATTTGAATATCTGTGTTAACTTTTGAGTTTAATTATATTATAATTTATTTCCAAATACAAACCTAGAGTAGCAAACAAAACCTATTAGAATGTACTTATCCCCAAACCTTGAATTATGATTTTACTTCTCTTGAGAGCATTCACTTTGAAATATTGAACAAATCGATGCTTTTCTCTCTCGTTTCATGAAATGAATAGTCCACAGTGTATTGCGACGGATATGTATTAGTGACAAGGTGAACCTGGAATCTAATCGAACATAATAATGCACAAGGCCTCGTTGTTGCGAAATCGTCGGTCTTGTGTCTAGCATAAGGTGGTGGAACCGACGCCACTGTCAGAAATGGTTTGGGGGGGGGGGGGAAGTACAATAACAAAGGTGACGGTGATGGTGATAGTGGTTGTGGATTGCGACTGTCGTGTCTGTGTGAGCACATTGATTACACGGCGATGCGAAGAACATTAGATATGAAAACGAATGTTACGTTCATCTATTTCGACCTCGGTCAACCCGCGGTGTAACGAGATCAGTTGCCTTTCGCCGAAGGAACCGGGATTCGATCCATGAAAATCCCTGTAAAATTATTATGGACAAGGCGTCTTGGGAATAAACAAGAGCCGACCAGGAAGCCGCACAGGCTTCCGCGGGCGTTGAATTTTTTTATTTCTTTCTTTCTTTCTTCTTCTACTTCTTTTTTTAATTTTTTTACTTTTATTTTTTCCTCTGAGGTAGATGTCATAATGACGGCTGAAACGTTGACGCCTATGCCTACCGCGCGGTGCCTCCCGGACAGCCATGTACCCACCGACTTCGGGTTTATTTTTTCTTAAATTTCTACCGTTTCTTCTGCTTTTCATTCTTCATTCATTACACTTATTCATAATCAACAAACCTTTAAAATAATTCACTAATCATACATAAACATTAATTTTATTTACTGACGTAATTAAGAATCATCAAAATCGATTAACTATTTTTACCATATATTTGCAAAATTTCAAACCTAATACGGTTTATTGTAATAACCTAGACTTGAAAATACAATTTGTAGTTTCGATTGCATGTGTATTAAGGCAATAGGAATGGATTCATATTCTCGTAAATCTGTTATGAGAGTTAAACGTCTCTGATGAATATCTAAGTGTTTAAGAAACATTGAAAATGAAAACAGGAAAAATGAGTTGACGCCAGAGGCAATGCCGCCAACAGACAACTGATCAACACTCAGCACTTGCTACATGGGCGCTGTAAGAGATACGACGTTGGGAAGGCACGGGTGGAATTGGTAAAGACGCATCGTGGGCAGGGTTGCCAGATGCTTCCGTTCAAACATCTGCCGTTGGCTAGATGTAAATCCACCCAATTAGAAAAAAATCAAGGGGAGCGAGGCGAAACGAAGGTGGACAGGAAGTTGCGGGCGGTGGCGGAGAGCGGGACGGGGCGAGTTCTTCGGCGATGTATGGAAGTAGGGCGAGGCCATGTCGTGGGTGGAGGCGCAGTGGGGAGGGGCGGCGAATCAAGGGCGCCGGCAGAGAACGGGGACAAGCGAGGACCTGGGTGTTGGTAGAGGTCGCAAGTTGGGGTAGGCCGAATCAAGGATGCGGACGGGGGCGAGAGCGCGCGGGCGGGGGTGATGTGTGCCGTGAGTGGGCGGAGTGCGCTGGCGGGGCACGGTACCGACCGGTGGGTGGTGAGTGCGAAAGTGGGAGTCTAATCAAGGGTGTCGAGCGGTGGGCGGGTGGGGCGAGGGGGGGCGCGCGTTGTGGCAATCGTGCCGGGCGCGAAGCGTGTTCCACCATACCGACGCGACGGCCGTCGCGCAAACACCACAGCCGGCGACTGCACAACACAGCCGTCGTCGCGCACACGGCCTCGCTCGCTCGCCCGGCCCACACTCCTCGCAACTCCGGCGTCCGCCAACACCGTGAGTACGACAGCCTGCGGAGCCTGCAACGTGCAGCCAGCGTACTTTGTGGGTGAAGGACCTGGAGGGGAACGTGATACGGATATGTTAAAACATAGCAATCATCAATTTTCATGATTTTGCTATAGAGGCCAGAACTCATTAGCCAGTTTCCCCTTTTGATTCGTTGATTTATTATTACTTGCAATGATTTTAAGTGGAACACATTCATATATCTTTTTACAGTTTTGCAGAAAACATGTCAAGATTCTATAATTGATGTTTGAAATATGAAGATTGCTGTACTTCAAGTAACAGCTTGAAAACTTTTGGAATTGATCAATTTTCGCGATTTTTCTGTAGAGGCCACAACTCATACGCCAGTTTCCCCTTTTGATTCGGTAATTTATTATTACTTTCAATGATTTTAAGTGGAACACATTCATATATCTTTTTACAGTTTTGCAGAAAACATGTTAAGGTTCTTTAATTGATGTTTGAAATATGGAGATTACTGTACTTCAAGTAACAGCTTGAACATTTTTGGAATTGATGAAACAGAATATGGAAATTGTTGACGTTACGGATATAAAAAGAATACATTTCGAGTTTTCGTCTATGAAGTGATTCTCCTACTACTTTTATACTATACGATTAATTTTCTATGTGTGAATTGCCTAATTATGATATAATGATGCAACTGCATGCCGCGAGTCAGGAATTTTACCTCTGTAATTGGTTTTAGTAGTTTGTCAGTTTTAATAAATGGGATGTTATATACTTAGTTTGTCAATGTCAAAGTTGTTCTTGTACCACTAAGTCAGTGTCTGAATTATGGGGCGATTCAAAATTCAATAAAGAAAAAAAACATGATTGCGTTAAATTGTAGGCAAAATATTTTTTATTGACAGATATTCGTTATTTATTGTTTAATTAGATTTAATCAATTAATAATAATTGTTAACAGCCGTGGACCATTCATTTCATTATTATTCCATTTGTGGTCTGGAAACTTCTGAATTTACTTGTGAAAGGTCCTTAATACACGACATGCATTATTATTGTAAAATGCCCTAGTCATGGAAGCATAACTTTCAATCTGTTATCTATGGGATGATTTCTTGGGAGGCTTCCAACTCTCCAATTATTGCAATCTCTGTCAGAAACTGCAAAGAAATTAGAATGTATAAAAAGTAAAATTTTAATTGTATTACGTATTTAATTTAGAGAATGTTTTTTTCAGTAACCTACGAAGCAGCAAGGCTTCGACTGATCAAAGTCTAAGAACGTGTGTCTGCAAAGTCGATTAATAAATATACTGAATGTAGAAGGCAATTCAAGCAAACGTTTTGCAGTTAGTATACCTCGCGGAAGGATTGTAAATCACAACCTTTTAAGACGACATTATGAAATTTCGTAACTACTCTTCTATAGCTACACAAATGCAGAACTACACAAAAGCAGAAAGTATGAGATATTATCAATTACAGTTTGCAAACAACTATCAATCTGCATTTCAGATTCTGACCCAAGAATAAAAAATGAAGTATAAACAAATTACCCAACTTTCTCCTGACTAAACTCTCTTAAATGCTAGCGAAATGTTATGCAGGAAGCCAAACATTTTGCAAAAAGTATTAAAAAGTTATAGAAGAAAATTACGGATATCATAAGAGTTATAACGCTGTTTATCACACTTTATTAATAGGCATTTATACACCATATTGTAAGAATTTAATATCCAAAATTAAAATGTGTTTACTATAGGTTTCCTTTCATTCTAGGAATCTATAGCATTCTTTACTGGTAATGCACAAAAGTCTTAAGTCTTGAGTTCTTATCTGCTACGGTCATCGAATCAAAACTTAATAAATCTTTGTGAAATTTCTATTTAAAGAGATCTCGTCTTTCTTTCTCCACCGTTAAGAACATCACCTTGAACTACACCATTCGCTCGATTTTCTTCAAATTTTATATTCATAAGTAATTTCCACTTAATCTCTTTAACTTCTGGATTTCTTTCCTAACTTATACCATATTGAGGCTAAATTAAGCGAAACCTTCCTTAAAGTTAGATTGTCTTGAAGTGGCTCAAATGAACTTGATTAAAATTTTCTAAACGTATTTAACACTTCACTTACCTAAAAGAAACTTTGCATTAATTCTGTTACTACGTTTAATGCATCTGTGGTGGTCTTTAAGCAGTTGAGGTCTTGGATTAATTTGAAAAAATATATTTTTCGAACAGAGCTGCCGTAATTATAACGTTCTATTGAATATAATTGATGTAAATAATAATAGCGTATATTCTGATATACGCTATGAATTTTGCGCTATACATTACGCTATGAATATACGCTATACATTTTGTATAATAATTTCTTCAATACTTACTTGATTATAATAATAGAAGTTTACTTTTTCGTTTCTTATAATTGTCCACCTCATTAGAATATTTTCTCTTATTGTTACCACTTTAACACGATTTTGCTCTTGAGTGCACTACACTACTGAAGTAGGAACATAATAGACACGTATTGCATTTAATAGCAAAATATAATTTATTCGAAATATGGATGACAAATTCCGGTAATAGTGTGTTAGCGATGTTTATTATTTTTTTAATACAAAGTATGGAACCAAAGAATGTTTTTCGATTCAGATAAACACGACCGTTCTGACTGGCCTGCTCCGTCATCTTTGTAGTAAAATATGAGGTGTTAAGTGATAAATCGGAATAATGCCCTAATTTCTTGCGTAGTTTGAATTTGTGGTTGCAGATTGTTGACACATACTTTTTCCGAATTATTTTGGGGTGTTGACAAATGTAATTGCCATATTGCGAGTATTTATGTAATAATATATATTGAAATCTTGCTGAGAACGAATTAAACTATTTTAGTAATGCGATATTAAGTTAATAATGTGGATAATTTTTAATAATCAGGTGCGTATGTTAATATTGAACATCGTATGAGAATAGTTATTATTTCCATCAGTTTATTTGAAAACATTTTAATTTCAAATCCTAATTCATTTTGAAATGGCTTGCTGTCTTTACCTGTAGTAAATCGCAGAGTGTTTCTCGCGTTGTCAAATACTACTTGCCTGAGCAAATAAATGTGGCCTTGAACGTGCAATGGTGAAGAAACGATCTCTCTCTAAATAATATTGGTTATTTTTATTTCTACAAAGGATGGTTTGTGTATTAGTGTGAAGAAAAACATCTGAAACTGGAAAACGATTTGTTGCAGGTACGACCGAGGCTTTTCTGGTGTCGGGTATCATCTGTCATCTGCCGCAGTTTAAATTCATACACACGGGATAAGCACAGATTCACATTCGCCAGTTCTACATTATTTTCATATTGCAAACAAAGTAAGTATTTGGACACAGGTGCGATGCTAATAGTAGTAAATAGTCAAGTTTGTCTTCTGGTTGTTTTATTGATAGCGATTATAGTGCAGTCGAACTTGTAGTGAGCTCCGTTATATCCCATGGGATGAAACAATGATAGCTAGGTGATTAATAATTCACTGAAAAGAAGCTTACTTTTATCTTAAGTGGGAATTTTGATATCTGAAAATCTGTTGATAAGCCATGCACTAACTCAAAAGTATTGAATATCAGAACGTTAAGGACGTTACAAATTTTCCAACGCGTGCTTTCATAAAAATGGTAAAGGTATCTGTTTTATTAACACTTACAAAATTTTGGAAATTACAAAGCTCACGTTTATATACGAACCTAGACTACACCTCAAATATTAAAGCAAGAAACTTATTTCCTAACGTCATTTATCTCTCAATTTTAGATCTTTAAAAGTTGTTAAACACTTTAAAAAATAAGTAGTTGTTAAAGTTGTTGTAACTTTAAAAACTAACTAGTTGTACTAAGAGGAGGAAACGTTTCGGCATTCTGCACATTCTGTCTAGTTTACTCTTGGCCACTCAAAGTTATTCGCGCTAAATTCGAGAACCATTACTCCAGTGGTTTTGTAGTTTTGTAGCATATAAAAACAGGTACTCTCACATTTAAACAGTAGAAGATGAGTATTGTTCGTCATTTCAGTCATTTCAGTGACGCTTGAAGTTTTAGCAAGATATATGTTGAAATATTATAATATTATGCAATCGTCAACAATGATACGAAAAACTATATATTGTTGTAGCACTATGAGTTAATTTTTTGAAGCACAATAATTATATTTTTGTCAAAAAATACCTTTTTAAACAGCCCATAGTAAAATTGGTTTCATCTAAATATAATACAAATCTACATCTAAATGCAAAGTATGCTAAGTTCAATGTTTAAAACTCTAGTGATAAAAGGAAGACGATGCTCAAGTGTTCAGACAAATCTGTGAATGCAACAAAGAAAGCAAAATTCTTTCGTCTGATAGTCGGTGTTGCATCTACTTAACTGGCCATAAGGTATCATTACGCGATTTGTCCCTTCGATTAAAATGAAAGGAAAGTCAGTAAGACTGTATACAAAAAGTGTATAACACCGTGATAAAAGTGATTTAATTTTTCTCGAAGTTGCGCCACTCGGTGGCGCAAACTTGCATTCGCCCAAAATAAAATACCACTTTTACAACTCATATCATACCTAAACATTTTCTCTCCATCGTAATAACAAATTACGTAAATTTATCTTAATTCAAATTATTTTACATTAATAAGTGCGACAACATATAATAATATTAATAATAATAATAACAATAATAATAATAATAATAATAATAATAATAATAACAACACAATATATAGCGCCGGGGAGGCTGCAGGTTCGAGTCCTGCGTAGACACGGTCGTATTTGTGATTGTCCCTTTACCCCTCATAATTATCCTACCATTTCATAATTCACACTTCTAGGTGTAACAATCTTATCGTACTGAGGGATACAGCTGAAAAGCTGATCCTGGAAAACTTACACACGTCAATCGTGTAGCGTGGTCAGTAATGGCCTATACGCCAATAATAATAATAATAATAATATAATAAGTGCGGATTCTAATGACATTCTGCGCGCACTGCCCGCAGGAGGCCATGTGGCACGGTCGCAGCCTGCTGCTGGTGTCGGTGTTGTTTGCGGTGGTGCTGCGGCAGCCCGCCCCGACGCGCGCCTGGCGCGCCGACGACCTGGACCTCGACCTGGACCACGACCACGACCTGGACCTGGACCACGACCTCGACCACGACCACGACGACCTGGACCTGGCCGACGCGGACTTCCTGCGCAAGGGCGGCATCAAGCGCCTGCGGATGCCCGCCCGCCCTCGCCCCGGTGCGTACTCTTGCAAGTAGTTTTTTACGCTCCAAGGACGTTATTCGGCTTCGATTGATCATACGGCGACAATTAGTTAACTTGGGCAGAACTCAGAATTCATCAGAAAAAATATCTATCGAAAACTATACTGGTGCGTACACTTGTAAGTAGTTGTTTACGCTCCAAGGACGTTATACGGCTCAGGCGACAAGACGAGTTCATAGCGGCGAGTTCATAGAAAGGAAATAGTTCAGTACATCCGCGATTATCTGTATTAATTAGTTAACTTGGGCAGAACTCAGAAGTCATCAGAAAAAAATATCTACGGAAATCTATACTGGTGCGTACACTTACAAGTAGTTGTTTACGCTCCAAGGACGTTATACGGGTTCTAATGACCGAACGGCGACAAGGCGAGTTCATAGCGGCGAGTTCATAGCGGCGAGTTCATAGCGGCGAGTTCATAGAAAGGGAATAGTTCAGTACATCCGCGATTATCTGTGTGCATTAGTTAACCTGGGCAGAATTCAGAATTCATCCTAAAAACTATCTATGGAAAACTATACTGGTGCGTACACTTGCAAGTAGTTGTTTGCGCTCCAAGGACGTTATACGGGTACTAATGACCGAACGGCGGTAAGGCGAGTTCATTGAAAGGGAATAGTTCAGTACATCCGCGATTATCTGCGTTAATTAGTTAACTTGGGCAATACTCAGATGTCATCAGAAAAAAATCTATGAAAAACTATGATCATCTATTGAAAAACGCAATACAGAATTGTTTAAACCAATTGCTGTGGTAGTGTCGAGCCGGCATGGGTGTTGGACGATTGATTCTAAGAATTCTATCAATTGTAACCTTCGTTTCTGTAAAGGTTGAACTATGCGTGAATTCTATAATAATAATTGGAGTCGCTCGACAAACAGAATGACTTGTGTGGGTGACAGCTGCAAACGCAACCAATTTTGATTTCTGAAATGTTTTCCGAATTTTCCGAGATATTTCGTAGCGGTAATGAGTCTCAATTACCTCAGATAATCGCAAAGCTGAGATTACCAAGGAAATAACTAGTTATCATTGCAGTGTTTTTGACCAGATGTCTTATGATTCCAATCCCAGTGGTAGTGGATTTTAGACACTAGCTAGATGACTAGGTCGAATTTAACCGCAATTGAAGGAGAATTCTGCTTCCAGCTGTTCTAATCAGTAGTTTTTCACAGTTTCGGATCAATACCAGTCAAATGCCGGTGAAGCACCTTAACACACAGACCACAAACCTCCCAAGATCTTTCCTTCCTCAAGCTTATTCGCTCATCGTTTCTTTCACACACACACATACACACAAACTTACATTATACAAGTCGCATTCCAGGAGACCTGTCGGAAGCTTATAGCATGCCTCGACAGGAGTAGTGCCCATCTGGCAGAAATAACAAGAGGGTGGATCCAACGTGTTCTTACGTTCGTGTTCTCACAACATACACTATGTAATCAAAAGTATCCGGACACGTGGCTGAAAATGACTTACCACCAGTTCATAGCGCCCTCGATCGGTAATGCTGGAATTCAATAGGGTGTTGGCCGACTCTTAGATTTGATGACAGCTTCTGCTCTCGTAGGGCATACTTTCAATCAATTGCTGGAATGTTTCTTGGTGAATGGCAGCCCATTCTTCACGGAGTGCTGCACTGAGGAGAGGTATCGGTGTAGGTCGGTGAGGCTTGTCACAAAGTCAGCGTTCCAAAACAACCGAAAGGTGTTCGATAGGATTCAATTCAAGAGTGTGCATCTATTACAGGGATGTTACTGTCGTGTAACCTCTCCACCACAGGCCGTGCAGTATGAACAGGTGCTCGATCGTGTTGAAAGATGCAATCGCCATCTCCGAATTGCTCTTCAACATTGGGAAACAAGGTGTTAAAAACATCAACGTTGGCCTGTGCCCTGAAAGTGCCACACAAAACAAGGGGTACAAGCCCCCTCCAAAAGAAACACGACCTCACCATAACACCATTTTGGACGTGTCCGGACACTTTTGATCACGTAGTGTTAGTTACAGTTATCCGAATTTCACGTTGTGGAGGGGGAGGAACAACGCCCTATTCCGAAATGTAACATGCACTTCAATTACAGGACTAACGATCATAGAATTTGACGCGCCTAGATACACAATAATCATCCATTGGGATAATCGCTACTTTGCTCAACACCCCTGGTTCCCATGAGGTTTCCAGCGAGGGTTAGACTGGGGTTGAATCTATCTCTGCCTCAGGCAGCTAGCCTACTTCATCCGTTCAGCTGACTCGGATTACTTTCCTTTTCTACCTCATTATGAAGATTTGACGATCTCCCCCTGACTTGTTCCCACGGCGTTTCCAGCGAGGGCGAGCGGCGCGGGCGACGGCGCTGGCGCGGGCGCTGGTGCGGGCGCTGGTGCGGGCGCTGGTGCGGGCGACGGCGCGGGCGACGGCATCGAGGGCTGGGACGCGGACCTGGAGAAGATGCTGCACGCCGAGTCGCCGTGGCTGCCGGGCGCCGACGGCAGGGAGAGCTACGAGGAGTTCTTGCGGCGCTTCTCGTCCGAGGCCCCCGGCGAGGAGCAGGACGACTGGGACTGAACCGGACGCCATCTTCACTCGCACGGCTAGGACGATTCCCACCGCCCGAATGCCCGTTCAGTTCACTTTTCTTCTCCTACTGTACGGTTTCTGCCAAGGCGGGCGGAACGTAATTTACTGAAACATGGAATGGGAAATAAATGAGCCATTTGTTATAAACAGTGCTTGTGTGAAATGCTCCACATTCGATACAAAACCACAGAAAGATAAATATATTTTCGTATGCGTTTGAACGTGTTTCTTCCGCTAAATTATTTGCATTTTGCTGGTGGGGCGTATAAAACAGAAATCAAGAAAAATCTATTACTTATTAAAAAAATTCTTGTAAATAATTTATAAATGTGTAATAATTAATAAAACAGGTAAATATACATCCAAATCAATTTAAAATGAAATTTTGAAGTGTGGAACTGACTGCGCTACAAATCTGAAGTACTCGGTTCACTGTACTCTCCTTAGGCCTTCCGCCCGCCTTGATGTATACTCTGTTACTTGTCTCAGCTCCAGTCAGAGAGACGTTGGCAAGTTGAATCGATCAATCATCATTCTATGGACATCGCTCTCTGAACATATTTATTTGATTATAAGTTTCAGCTACATTTAAAATTCGCAATGTACTTTTACTTCTTAAGTTATTTTATTTACTCCTCTCTTTTATGTGGAAAAGTTCTTTCTTTAATAAACTGTAAATAGTTTAAAATGTGTATTCGATGAAACAATTCACTGATTTCTCAAGTTTATGATAAGCGAAATGTCAGTTGACTTCCCAGAGCATCAGAGGAATGCTTTCAATTTCTTTGACATTTTAATACCTACGTACGGATAAAAAAATTAACAATTCAGTCACGATCGCATCAGTTAGGAAATTTAGTTCGATAATTGATATGCTTTACTTTCCACTATGTAATTCTTCATTACAAGATAGAAGAACTTTACAAAATGAACTTTTTGTTATTGAAGATGAGCTTTCTTTAGAACGCGGAAAACACTCATTTCCTGAGTGGCTGTCGTTCTTTTTTGGGTACTCGCCCTCTCACCTTGGTGCCTTGAAATGCATAATGCATCTCTTATAGAATTATTTTAGATTTAGACCTTGTTGAAGGTTTTTACTTCTAATCACGAATAAAAATCTAGACTTTATAATTGAGACTTCTCACATCGATTTCTAAATACGGAGCATTCTCTTCTGTTCAATTGAAACTACTGTGAAACCGTTTTCCGAGTGCAGATTTCGTTACTATCGAAAGACACGTTCAGTTCGATTTTTTCTAATTTTAATTCTATCCTTACTGTGTGATTCTGTTCAAAAGGGGCTAATTGTCTATATTTAATTACCCTGTGTTTTCGTTTTCTGAAAAATTTACTATGAGGGGTAAGAGCACCGTTTGAACAGACATTTCACCAATATAAATGCGAATTTAAAAGTAACTGAATGTTGCAATGATGTTCATTAGTAAAAATTTTCTTGGGTTGCACCTTTAATTATTTATTTTTGTTTCATTTTCATTACACAGAAATGGATTACATTTTTAAGTGTATTATGCCAGCGTTAAATAGATAATAGAGCTCTATCAAAAATTCTGTATATTATTGTTCTATATCTCTGTACTGTACGCGTGAAAATTACCTTTAAGAGTAATTTATACATTTATGTTATTTTTTATGGTTTGTATTGTGATTATGATTTATGATATTGTATCACATTTATGATATCTATAAATTGAACGTGTTAAAAAGGTATTATGCTTTTAATTTACGTTTGCATAAGGGTTATGCTTTTTGAAGGTATTTTCGCTAGTTTTAAGATATTGTGCCGCTTTTTAAAGACCTGTGACATTATGCACTTAGTCATTCCACGGCATTTCATTATATTTAGTTGTTAGAAGATTGAAAACAAGTATTTCCTGCAGTTAAGTAACTCAAATGGGAATATTTAAAGTCAAGTGATTTTGTAGAAACTGAATCTGTGATGGCTCCAAATATGGTGAAAAATGATTTAATTTGCTTATCATTTTCTCGTTTTTTACACGGTTATTTGAATTGTTTTGATTGCATCAGCACGTTGAAGAGTGAATACCTGACTGAAACCTTTTCAATTATTGTTTAGCTTCAAAACGGTGAAACAATTGTTCCTAATAAATCGTATCATAGGTGTATAGACTAATGATATGAATTAATGTGTGTGTTTCCTGTTTCAGAAAATAATACATAATTGTCAAAGCAAAATAAAGCAATTCATATTTTATTTATGAATGTGATATGTTTGATTTCAAAGCGCCTGTGAAAGCGTGAAACACAATGTCTTGTAACTTGAGGCACGGAATAAAGAGAACCGCACACAACAGATGGTGGTTTCATCGCGTTTGTAAGTTCTTTAACAACTCACTTCTCTCAAGAGTCGTTAACGCCTTCGTCTTCTTTTTCGTAGTAGAGAAAGCGTTTTCTTTCGTTAGAAAAATTGTATCGCGGCAAAAGAGATATCCGATTGCTTTATCATCTCAACGCCTCATCGGATAGAATTCCTCCCAAGAAAAAAGGAATAAAAATTTAGGGCGCAGGGAGAAACTTTTTCTTTCTCGCGAGCCTCGCCGCGCTGGTGGTGGGGGGGGCCGCGGGGGAAGGGAGGGGAAGGCAAGAGAAGAAAGTGAAGGGCGGCGGAGGAAGAAAGGATCGATAGATCGAACATGACCGCCGCAATTCTGGAGGATCACCGCGGCCCGGGGCGGCTCTTCAGCTCTTAGAAAGGCTTCGCGTCGCCCCTCCCCCGCCCCCCCCCCACTCCGCCTCGCCACTCGCCCGCCCCTGCACTCCGGGCGTCCCAGACGGCTGTGGAAAAGGCGACTCGCCGTGCCGAGAGGAAGGGGCAAGGAGCGGGGAATTCGGGTTGGGCGGAGCGAATGCGGTCGGGGCGAGACGAGACAGTGCGTGGCGGGGATTGTTGGGAGGTGGAGCGGGAAAGCGGGGCGGGAGTGGAGTTGGGCGGGAGGGGCGTCCGAGGAGGGGAGGGGTGGAAAGCACACGGGGCAGAAGGAACACCGGCCGGGGGGAGGAATGCAGAACATGGCGGGGCGCGAGGGCTGTGGGAGCGCAGGGAGGGCAATGGTGTACGGAGGGGATGGAATCCGATGGGGTGGAGCGAATCGTGATGGGACAGACTGGGCTGTGCGTGGCGGGGATTGTGTGGGAGCTGGAACGAGAAAAGGGGCGGGAGCAGAGTTGGGCGGGCAGGGGCGTCCGTGGAGGGGAGGGGTGGACGCAACACGGGTGGAAGTACACGGCCCGGGAGGGGAGCGATGCAGAACATGGCGGGGCGCGAAGGGCTGTGGGACGCAGGGAGGGGAAATGTGGGTGCGGAGGGGATGAATCCGGTGGGGTGGAGCGGAATCGGATGGGGCGAGACGGGGATGTGGCGTGGCGGGGATTGTTGGCGAGGTGTGCGGAGAATCAGGGGGCGGGAGCAGAGTTGGGCGGGAGGGGCGTCCGTGAGGGGAAGGGTGGAGCAACACGGGGGTGAAGTAAACACCGGGACCCGGGGGGAGGGTGCGATGGCAGAAACATGGCGGGGGCGCGAGGGCTGTGGAAAGCGCAGGGAGGGAAATGGGGTGCGCGGAGGGAGGGATCCGATAGGGTGGAGCGGAAAAGCAAGCGGGTCGGAATGGAGCAAGGATGAGGCGGGCGTGCAAAAAAGCAGCGAGGCGTGCGTCTGTGGTGGGACACCGTGACG